GGCTTACAGCTATACAAAGCATGCACAACATGGACATGGAGAATGAATACAGAAGCAAGGCAGCCCTGAGATAAGCCTTTTTATAGTTTATGGCATGGCCAAACAGCAAGCAAAGATAGGGCAACAATGGCATGCAAAAACGGCCCTAAACATGCGATTATGAAGTAACTCGTAGCTGCTAACTCCAAATAGGTTAGGGCCCTTCAACAACATTGAAGAGGGACCCAAAATATGCACATTTACAGAACTGTAAAAGCCCCAAAAACAAACATGGGTAGGGCTAAGCTCTTATGCAAGAAATGGGCCAAAAGGTGGCCAAAGAAGCAAGTATGCAAAACATTCATCAAACAGCCAAAGACCCTTAATAAAACATGACAAGGGGGTCAAAATATGGCTTTTTCTAGTTCGGACCAATGTCCAAAAATAGCAACATCAGGGGCTGCCAAGGCGTGCAAAAATGGGACCAAAAAGAGAATATAAAGGCAAGTATAACATGGAGGTCCGAAACAGTGTTGAGCCCTTCTTCAATGTTGAAGAAGGGCTCAAAATAAGCCTATCTACAGTTTACTACATGCCTCAAAACAGATTACACATAGGCCAAAAATAACATGCAAGATTAGGGCCTAAAGGAGAGATAAAGAAGGAAGTGCTAGCTACTGTCCTCAAACAGCAAGAGGTCCTCAATCAAACATGAAGAGGACCTCAAAATATGATGATTTGAAGTTTAGGTCGGAGCCCAAAAGTGCAAGCAACTATGGCTTAGATATGAAGCAAGAAAAGGCTAGAAAAGGGAAGATGAGGACTCACCCTTGAAGACCAGCAAACCAGCACCTATTGGACCAAGTTTAGGTGCTCCTAAGCTCTGGAGAACAGCCTCAAGCTGCTGGAATGGGCATTGGATGCCTTGTGCTATGAGTTGATGAAGAAATGGCCCAAGAACAAGGGTGTTTGATGGTTGAATGAGAGAGATATGGAGAGAGATGGAGGGTTATATGTATGTATATCAGATATACGTGGTATATCTCTAGTTTTTTGCTTCAAATCTCTCCAACCTAAACAAAGGAGGAGGAGAGGTGCTTATATAAGCAATGCTAAGCTTCTAAGACAAGCTTCAAAGGGGCCAAGGGGTTCAAGGGGGTGCAAGGCTTCTAGAGGAAGCTAAAACAGCTGGCCAAGCATCTTTGGCCAAAAGGTTCAAGCTTCTAGAAGGTTAAGGGGTTCAAAGGCTCACAAGGTGCAAAACAAACACACATGCACGTGGGGGATCGATTTTGTGCATTCCAGCTGGAACAGCTAGAATCCACTCAATCTGCAGAATGCTCTGGAAGGTCGTCGGCTAGCAAAAATTGCCGGTCAGCAAAATAAAGTGCAGGTCGGCACAATAAATTGCCGTCCGGATAAATATAGTGCCGGTGGATGGCCGGTAAGGTCAAAAAACTGCCGATTGGTGTCCAAATTGAAGCCCCGGAAGTTAGCTTTCCAATGGCGCAAACCTTGCATCAAAATTCCTCCTATGCAAAAAAGTTATGCCCTTTTCCGTGAAGCCGCGCAGATTCGATCCAACCCGGATGATGCCCGACTTCAACTGATCATATCTCCCCCACCCGGACTTGGCTCTTGGAGATTCTTTAGTGCAAAGTGAAGCCCCGGAAGTAAGCTTTCCGACGGTGGTGGCCCCATAGCTAAACTCCAAGTGTACAGATAGATAAGCCCGATTCAGCCAGGGTTGCTCGACTCGCTTCTACCCGGATTCATGCCGAACTTCTCCCAAACTAGTTTTCTCCTCTCCTTTCCTCTTTTCGTCAACTCCAAAACCCTAAACAAAGTGTTTTGAAAGATTTGCCTCTCTTTTAGCCGAAGAAACTGATTTTTTGCCCTGCACATCTCTCAACACCGAGCAAACCATCAGTAGTGCCCAAGTCTTAAGGGCGGTCAAAAATGGGGTGTCTACACTTATTTGAGTGGTTTTGACTTGGTTTTGCCTTAGAAGTTGCTGTTTTTGAAGTTGTGCTTCAAGGGTGAGTAATAGCCTCTTTAAAGCTTTATTTTCATTGCTTATTTGGCCACCTTTGCATGTTATTTTAGGCCTTGATTTCAACTAAAAAAACCTTTGGTCTAAAGTGTTCAAAAAGGTTGTTTGAGGTGTTGTTTGAGTTAGGGGTGTCTATCACTCTTTTGTGCCTTATTTGCTAAGCTTCTTGCCATCTTTTAAAGCTTTTGAAACCATCTCTTCTTGGCCTTCTTACCACTGAAACTCAAAAGAATTTCAGTGGTGGAAAAGTGGTTTTGAGGTCCCAAATGGGTGGGGTGGTCCCCCCTCCTCTTCTCTTGTTGGCATGCGTTGATGGCCCATCAAAAGAGTATGTGTTTCTACTTCTTAGTGGCTTTGTTTGGGCTCATTTTTGTGAGTTTTCAGACCTTCCATAACTCTATTTTTGGCTGTCTTGGTCACCTCTTGCATGCTTCTTGTACTTGTAGTGTAATCGTACTTGTAGCCTTGCAAAATAGCATGTCTTTGTGCCTTGAATTGGCTCCATTTCAGCATGTTTTTAGCCATTATTTTCCATGTCATAACTCTTTTTTGGGTTGGTTTGGTTGCCTCTTGCATGCTCCTTGCACTTGTAGTGCAATTTTGTTCACTAGCCTAGTGCATTTGGTGTTTGAGCATATTGATGTAGGATGTGTATGCTCTACTCCAGCACATTTTTGGCTATATTTTAGCGTGCTTTAGGTCTGATTTGAGTGGTTTTGGTCATGCATGCTTGGCTTTGCATAGCTATAGTGTATTTGGCTTTGCTAGCCTTGCACTTTGAGACCTCTAGCATGTCATATTTGACCTTTTTGCATGGCATAGCATCATTTGGCATGCTATTTCAGACCATATACTTCTATCATACTCTCATGTTTGTCACTCTT